TATCTTAAGCTGAACTGAGTTGAAGTTTTGTCACATGCAACCATTGATGCTCATTGACAGCCTGCAAAAATGAATTCATTTTCATAGTGTTAATATTCACATTCTGGCTTTTCTTCTTTACGGCACATGCATCTTAGAGACTTTGTAGAATTTTCAAATGAGGTGGGCACATGCTCATTTCCCTCCACTTCACCCTGTTACAGAGAAGAGAAAATCAAGCATTCTTCTTTTAGCAGATGGCATGGTTTTATTTTCATAGTTTAGGTGAAATCTCAATAGACACCTGGCTTTGTTATCTAATTATTAGCAAAAGCTATGGTTTCAGAGTAACCGTTCTAACTAAAAATAATTGTTTTAGTGAGCATGATCCTATATCCAAAAATTTATGGCTTAAGCAATCGATCAAATCAACTTATTTAGTTACATGGAAGTACGTGCAGTTTATTTTAGCGGGTTCATCAGAAAGACATGCAATTCTTAAGGTTAGATGCCTTATGAGTACTTCACAGAGATTTCTTTCTCTTTTATAGAAATGAGCACTTGGTAATACTTGCTTTAAAAGTTTTCTGGGTTGAAATTACTGTGGCTAATCTCTATAGCAATAACCTGTTAACAATAATAATGAAAAAAAGATTCTATTCACAGTAGCAATAAAAGGGGGAGAATGTCTATGAATAACACTAAAATGTAATGTGTGTATCTCTGTGGAGGACATTACAAAACTCAACTGAGAGATATAAAAGAATTTGAATAATATAGACATAAAATGTTCTTGAAGAGAAGCATGATTAATTTGAAAATGTCAACTTTTCCTAAATCAACTTATAGTTTTAATGTAATTGCAATAAAAATTCCAACAGGATTTTTGTCTTTTAAAAATTGCCAAAATATCTGTTAATATGACTTAGAAAAATAAACAAGTAAGATGTAACAGCACTAAAAAATGCTGAAAAAGAAATATAATGAGGCAGAAAACAACCTTACTGAATTCTATTTAGAATATTTATTACCACTTATTATAAAGTTATAGCAATTATATCTGCACAGTACTAGTAGATAAGTGAATAAATAGATAATTCAGGAAAATAAATGTAAATAAGATTTAATACCTGATAAAGGAGACCAAAAAATCAATAATAAAGCGTAGAATTATTTAATAATTACTTCTAGAATAATTAGAAAAACGTTTAGAATCCTTTCTCTTACTAAATTCTCATCTATTTTCTGATAGATTAAAACATTAAATGTCAAAATCAACAAAACACGAAAAAAGATAGAAATATAGGAGAATATTCAGGAATAGGAATGTCTTCTGAGCCAGGAATAGGAAAGAATTTTTTAGCCTAGAGGCAATGAGGAGAAGACTACTAGACTTGACTTCTTATATAAAAATAATTTTTTAAAAACCCTCTATTAAAAATATAAAAACAAGATGATACATAGCAAAAGGCAGGTTAACACATTAGGAAAGTATTTTTAACAGATATGTAAGGTAATATTGTACTTAGCATTTAAAGAAATCATACAAATCAATAAAAAATATATTAAGACCAAAATTCAGTAAAAGAGGAAAAGATGTGCACAATTCAGAGGATTTTCTAAAGAACATTAAAAAAAGCTTACTTTAAAAAATAATCAAATTAGCATAAAACAGTGAGGTACTATTTTTATGTATATAGTTATCAAACAGCAATGTCTAATGCTTGAACACACTTGATCAGAGTTTAAGTTGTAATTACATGTTTATATGATATTTTGATTACATATACTGAAAGCCCCAAAGTGTTAATATTGTTTGACATGGCACTTCCAGTTCTCAGAATCGTTCCTAAGGAAATGATCTAAAATGCAGATTTTCACAAAATATATTAATTTTAGCAGCATTTATAATTTAACAATTATATATATCCAATGAAACAATTTAAATATCCAAAGAATGGGAAATGATTGAGGGAAGTGGTGTTAGATCCATATAGGGAGCTAGTGAGCAGTCATTTACAACTGTGCTTATGAAGAATTTTTATTGCTTGTGTTCCAATGGTACATGAAAAAATTGCCATGCACGTTTAAATATATTATATGATTTCAATGATTTAAATATGGAAATGTACCAAAGCTTTAGCTCTGGTACCTTTTCATGGTTGGATTAGGAATGATTTTTTAAAATTCTTTTATGTGTATATGCCGTGAGCACCTGATCGAGAAATGAGTTCTATTTTGTTTTCTCAGCTGTAGAATCCTCGGGTATCTATCTCATGGAAATAGCTAGGGCTTTCTGTTTTGAGAGTCAGGGCTTTTATGACCCCATGGTAGATTTGAGGGCCTTTGGTTTAAGAAAAAAAACAAAAACCACCAACAGTAAAGGCAGGCTTCCTGAAGCATGGTTGAAAATGGAGAGGACTTGAAGAACTGAAATAAGGTGTGGAGGTGGGAAAGGGATGGCTAGACTTGAGGGAGAAGTGGCTAGGATGGAGAGAAGAGAGGTAAGTTCCTCCAGCGAGGTCCACCTGTGCTGTGCTGCCCCTCAACACCTTGAAGATGAAGGCTCCCTGGGGAAGCAGGTTTGACATGAAAGGGAAGTTGACGTATATGGGAAGCGTACGGTAAGGAAGGTTCCATACCTCATGGGCTGAATATTAAGCTTGGTGAACAGAAGGTTGACTCAGAAATACTATAGTTAACACATGTGATGCTAGTTGGTAATAAGAACACTCCTCTAATTTTCTGTTCTTATAATCATTGCACATCCTTGCACAGTCTTTAGAATGGGCCGTGCTGTGGTAGAGTGGACTCCTGGAGGGAGTGGACTGGTAGGCAGTGGGGCGATGGGCTGGGGGTTTAATTTCATTGATCTGTGGAGAGGATGGACCACTTAAGTAGGGGGGAAGTCTCATGGCAAATATCTATTTTATTATTTAAAAATCATTTATTATTTTTAGTGTACACATTATGAAAAACAAAATATCAGATAACTCCTGACGACTTAAAAGCAATAGATTTGATATATGTATATAATGAGATAATTAAAATAATATGTTAAGACATGAAAGAACAAAACCTCCCTTCCCACTTCACCCTCAGTCTCTCTAAAGTTTACCACTTGGCTTTCTCTCCTGTATACTATCAGAAAAAAAATCCTTACATATACTAACATGTATTCCTTCAGTGACATTTATTGAATGGAGCTTCTATTCTAATAGAGGGAGACAGACATTAAACATTAGCATATCAGATGGTGATAAGTGCTTCAGGGAAACATTAAGGACGTTAAAGTGTGTGTGTGTGTATCTGGCAGGGAGATGAAAAATGTTTGCTATGTTATATAAATTGGCTTACTAATCAGAGACACTGGAACAGAAACTTGAAGGAGATGACAAAATTATTCTTGCGAATATCTGGGGGATGGAGCATTCTAGACAGAGGGACTAGTAAGTGCAAAGACCCTGAGGCAGCATTGTACTTGGTGTGCTTAAGAAATAGCGAGAAGGCCAGGCTGGAAGGGGGAAGGGAAGCGGGGAGAGTGGCAGGAAATGGTAGTCAGGGCTGACTGTGGATTGTAGGCTTTTACTCTAAGATGGGAAGCCAGTGGGGGGTGTTGAGTAGGGAGTGACGTGACCTGACATAAATCTTGGAAGAACTGTTCTGTTGAGAATAGACGATCTGAGGGCAAAGATAGAAGGCAAGGAGATCAGTTAGGAGGCTTTCAACATATTTCAAGGGAGAGAGATGGTGGCTGGGCATAGGATGGTACAGGAGGACAGAGTGGATATATTTTGAGACTAGAACCAACAGAACTTGCTAATACATTTATTATGTGTGTGAGAGAAAGAGAGGAGTCCAGATTGACCGCGAGATATTTGTTTTATTTTAAAATCGTTTCCAGTTTTGTTGAGATATTATTGACATAAAACATTGTATAAGTTTAAGGTGTACAACACAATGATTTGATATATGTATGTACTTTGAAATGATCACCACAGTAAGTTTAGTTAACATCCATTACCTCACATAGTTACCATTTTTTTCCTTGTGATGAGAACTTTTAAGATCTACTCTATTAGCAATTTTCAAATATACAAAACAGTATTGTTAAGTATGGTCATCATATTGTACATTACATCCCCAGGACTGATTTATCTTGTAAGTGGAAGTTTGTACCTTTGACCACCTTGACTCAATTCCCCCGCCCCCTACTCCCCCACCTCTGGCAACCACCAATCTGATCTCTGTTTCTATGAGTTTGGTTTTTTTAGACCCCACATATAAGTGAGATCGTACAGTATTTGTCTTCCTCTGCCCGACTTATTTCACTCAGCACTGTGCCCTCAAGGTCCATCCATGTTGTCACAAATGGCAGAATTTCCTTTTCTTAAATGGCTGAATAGTATTCCATTGTGTGTGTATGTATGTATGTGTGTGTATGTATATATATATACACATACATATACATATATCATATTTTGTTTATCCAATCGACTCCAAGATATTTGGCTTGGGCAACTGGCAAGATGAAGTTGCAATTTACTCAGATGGGAAGACTATAAGAGAACAGATTAGAGGAAGTATTTTGGAATTGGGGGCTTGGTTTTGGTCATGGTAAGAGACACCCATTGGACAACCAAGTAGAGATGTGGAATAGACAGTTCTATACCCATCTTGAGGCCAGAACTTTAAAATACATGTGTGAGCCAGCAGCATAGAGATGGTATCTGAAACCATCTCTAAACTAGAGGAGAGCACCTGAGTTGTGAGTGTAAACAGAGAATATACATATATACGTAGGTACTGCATAACATGCATGTCCAAAGAACCTTTTAGAAGTTCAAGTTTGGTATGTGATGGGATTTGTATAGTGTCCTGAAGTAGAAAGAAATTTCATAAAAAATTACAGAAAAGTTTGCAGGCTTCAGCTCTATTAAATGGCTAAAATGGAAAAAGAAGTGAGAACCCATAGAAATAGTTACCATGGAGACTTCAACATTCCAGGAATGATGAGCTGACTGGACCTAATTGTGACCTGGGAGCCCTGTCTAAAGGACGGACTGGCAACCAAAGCCGACTTTCTCCCCAGGACTTTGAGAAGCAGCACCTCCTCAGGGGATGGCGTCTCAGAGAGCAACTGAGATATACTCAGACTCAAAATATACTCAACTTTCCTTCATCTAGTGTATTCTTTATCTTGATCTGATGTCCTGGACGTTTCTCACAGAAGAAGGTTAATAGGAGATCAAGATTGGCAGGAAGAGGGAAGAACGGAGGTGGGGATTTGACTACATGGGCCAGAAGGGGAACAAGCAGGAATATGGGTAGCTGAGAAGAGAACTGTGTAGAAGAAAAGGTGCCTTTGGTAAAAAGAGATGGTTAAAAAGATAAGGAGAGAAGTGGTGTTAAACGATGGATTGAAGACATTAATTTATGTTTCTGCCCTCCCCAGTTCCCACCAAATTGATAGTAAAGTAATTAAAATCATAAGATTTTAGAAAATAAGAGGAGAGGCAACAATGGATGGGAGATGTCAGCATGTTCTTGGAAGAATGAAACCAGAAGGCAGGAAGATGGAAACCAAGGGCTGGTGATGAGAGTTTTGACCTGTTCAGGATTTACCAGCAACAGGTACCATGGAGGATGAGATTGAATCATCGGGCTAAAAACAGGGCGGGAGGGTTACCTGAAAGTTTCTGTTATACAGTCTGACCCCATCCCCTCCCCTACCTGAGAAGCTAGAGTTAAACTCTGGAGAATTTAAAATGGAGAGGCACCTAGATTTTGTGTGTGTGTGTGTGTGTGTGTGTGTGTGTGTGTGAGGAAGATTATCCCTGAGCTAACATGTAAGGCGCCTAGATGTTTTTTTTAACCACATTAAGTTTAGCTAACATCCATCACCTCACATAGTTACAAATATACATATGTATACAAATATGTATATGTACAAATATTCATATGTGTACAAATATGTATATGTACAAATATTCATATGTGTACATAATATACAAATATATATATATGGATTCTTTGTCTGTCATATACATTTATTGTGTTCTCAAATGATTTAAAAAAATTTTTCAATTTTCTTTTTTTTTTACTTACTTTTATTTTTCCTGTACTTTGTTTTCCTTACTGAGTTTTTCATAGGAACTATTTTAATCTTAGGAGCCTCCTTGAGAATCTCCTTCACAGAAGGGGCCTTTTGATTAGCATATGGTACATGTTTCCCAAAGACTCCAAGTGGGCCACAAAAATTGATCAATGTTGCATTGGTGAGTTTAATGTGCAGGAACTTATCTTTCGTACTGGAGGAGATATCCTAGCGTGGTTCAGACCGCTGGACTCCCAGAGACTTTATTGAAATAGCCCCTGAATTGATTTACTTCTCATCTGAGGGCATGCTTGTATCTGGGTACCTGCTACTTCCTTCTCACCAGGTCCAATCTGCATGATGTCATCAATGTAGTAGACCAATGCGACGTCATGCGGAGTGGTAAAGCAATGAGTTTTGGAGAAGTGAAATAGCACTGTGTCAAAATGTTGAAAAGTTGTCCTTCTGGTCTTGCCAAATGAAAACAAAAATGCTTGTGGTATTTTTTGCTTTTAGGGGTAGATAAAAAGGATTTCTCAGAACAATTTCTGCTACTAAGTAAAAGGGGCTCTGTTGATCTAGCACAATAAAGAGAATGCATCTGGAACAGCAGCTCCAATTAATGTCATGACCTGATTTAGTTAGTAGTGATTCAATGCTGTTTTCCAAAATCCACTTGTCTTCCGGTGTAGACCAAATGGTGAGTCAAATGGCTGTGTGATAGGAATCACCAATCCTGAATCTTTCAAGTTATTCATGGTAGCATGAAACTCAGAATTTTCCATGAGGATGTAGTATTACTTTTGGTTTGCTATTTTGGTAAGGAAAGGGAGATCCAGGGGCTTCCACCTGGCCATTTTTAGCATAATAATTCTTACTTAATGGTTCAGGAAGCCAATGTGAATTTCTGTCAGTTTCTGACTATATCTATTCCAACCATATACATAGAAACCAGAAAAATATCTCTGGAATAGGTTGAACATTCCATTAGATGGACTATGTGGGGACATAGGTCATAATTCCTTTTGCTGTGTGACTTCAGTAAACGCCCACCCTGATCTGGAGCTTGCACTAAGTATGTTCTGGGTCCACAAAGATTAGCCTTAGGTCAGAACTAGTGGATAGGAAGACTCGACATCATAAAGATGTCAATTCTCACCCACATGTAGGTGCCCATATTGATGGTCAAAAATTCTCCATTGCAGCGCCATGCCGATAAATAGTGTTGGTTCAATTGGATATCAGTGCAGAAAGATGGATCTTGACCCTTACCTAACATGATGCACAAAAATGAATTCCAGATGAATTATAGATCTTGATATGAAAGGTAGAAAAATAAAACTCTTAGAAAAAAATAGAAGACTATTTTTATAATCTGGCAGGAGGGAGTCTAGGACAGATTTTTTTTTCTCTTTTTGCTGAGGAAGATTTGCCCTGAGCTAATATCCACTGCCAATCTTCCTATTTTTGTATGTGAGCCACCACCACAGCATGGCCCCTGACAGATGAGTGGTGTAGGTCCATGCCCGGGAACCGAACCCAGGCTGCTGAAGTGGAGTGCGCCAAAATTAACCACTAGGCCACTGGGCTTGGCCCTAGGACAGTCTTCTTAGTGGTACTCAAAATAGTACACAGAAAGGGCCACCATAAAGGAAAAATTGATAAGTTGCACCACATTAAAATTAAAAATATTTTCATCAAAATAATCATTAAGCAAGTGAAAGGGCAAGCCTCAAGTGGGACTTGTGTCCATAATATATAAGAATGCCTACAAATTAATGAGAGAAAGGCAGCATGACCAACAGAAGATGGATAAAAGATGTGACCCCAAAAGAGCATATCCATATGGTGAGAAACACATGAAATTCACCAGCCGTCAGGGAAACACAAATTTTATTTTCATGTCTTTTGATGAAAACATATATGCATTTTTTTGGTATATACCAACTATTCGGTCATAGGGTATGTGCATATTCAATGTTAGTAAATACTGTCAAACAATTTCCAAAGTGGTCATAACAATTTATACTCCCGTCAGCAGTGTATAAGAATTCCACTTGCCCCCCCCATCCTTAACAACACTTAACCTTTATAGACTTTTTCAACTTAGCCATTCTGATATGTGTGTGTATATGTGTGCTGAATCCTTTCAAACTCACTGTATGCCAACGTACAATGTGTAGAGATCGCACTTGCCTCCACTCTCTGCACTTGATTTTATGGTTAAATTCCCCCCTAGGATCTAACATATATTCATACATATGTTCTTCTCTACTATGGAGGCATCCAAAACCCACTGCTCAGTTCTTAGATACTTTGAGTTGATGTATACATGATACATTGCGAGTCCCAGAATGTACAGTACCACAACTAGACTTTTTCTTGTCTTTATACGCATCCTGCTCAGCTCCCTCCCTTGACACGAGCACGGAGTAGAGCTGGGAGAAATTTGAAAAGCTCACATTCATGACGAGTGCTATACGTATAGCATGTATCCTAGCCTTCTATTTTGTGGCTTTAGAACTATCATTTTCTTAGCCTTCTTTACTATTTTTCCCTTCTACCATGAGCACTAGCAGGTAGTTTTCCTTGGGGCACCATTTTTATAATCACTTTATGAATGTTGCTTCATCTAGAAGGTGAACGGAGAACTATAAAGCTATTTTGAGATGTGGGAGCTGGTCTGTCAGCTGTGCTCGCTCATTACTTAGATGACTCACTTCAGTTCAACTTTACAAAACATGGAATACCAATTTGTGCTTCCATAAACTTTTAAATTTTGGAATTTCAAGAGTCTACTGTTTTGAAGTTAAAATATTAATTAGATTTTTTCTTAGTGTTTTTTTCTAATTTATGTCAGTAATTTCTCAGCGGAATACCAAGATCATTCAGGAATAAAAGAGACAGGCACTTTGAAAAATAGGAGTCCAAAGGAAGACTATATCCTCGGTAGAAAGTTACAACCATCATTTCTCTTAGGATCTGGTTTGCTTATATTAAGCAGTATTTCTTTGATGTTGTCTTCCGCTCTCTACTTAGGCCAAAGGATCAGTAGCCATGTTTTCTGTTCTTCATTTTTAGGGCCTGATCTCGGATTCCAGAGGAGACTTGGTTTACATGGTCTCCTATTTTTTGACGCGCTTTGGAAGAGAATAACATGGTCAGGCCTAAGAGTAGCTGTGAAATAAAGGAAGCATGTCTTCAGTGCCCTCAAATGTGTTGTCCATCGTGCCTGATGCTCTTCCTTTCTTTCCCTTTCCTTCTTATTTCATTAAGTACAATTTATTATCACGAGATACCTCTTACAGGAGTACTGAGCCATTTTGATGGTAGAGTATGAAGTTACAGGAACAGTACAGTAACCATCTACCAATAGAACTGATGTTAGAGCTGATTACGGATTCCCAGGTTGCAGTTTCTTAAGTGAGATAAAAAGGATACCCTGATCTGAGCACGTCTGCTTTTTCATGTATAAATAAATTCTTATAAGGAACTTCATAAGAAGCTCATTAGAGTTTTCAACTCACCATGCCTTAAGACAGTGGTCAGCAAACTTTTCTATAATTGGCTATATAATAAATATTTTAGGATTTAAATGTCATGTGATCTCTGCTGCAACTACTCAACTCTGCTGTCGTAATAATGTGAAAGCCGCCATAGACAAAAGCTAAACAAATGGTGTGTCCAAGTTCCAATAAAAGTTTATTTACAAAAACATATGGCAAGTGGTTTGGCCAATATGCAATAGTTTGCTAACCCCTGCCTTACGTCCAATATTACCTCGTCTCTTGGATCATTCCAGTTTCACCTCTCCAATGTGCTCTAGTTCACCTAAAGAGAAACACTATAAAATAGAGTGTTCCTCATATTTTTTTTCATTACCTCAAGGATGGCAATGAAACACAACTCTGTGAAATTCTAAGCCTCTTAGGAACTTATTCTCCTCCTACTAAGTCTTAATTTTAACTATTTAAGTTATTTATAGGGCTACGTTTTTAGCCCCTATATATGACTTCAGGAACTGGAGAGGGAACATTCTCAAGGGAGGACAGATGCCCCCAAATGGTACTCACCATCTGGTCAAACAAAGTAGGAACCAATTGTCTTTGAGGGTAAGGTGTGAACACCTGTTCTTTCTTGCAGATTGAGGATTTACTGTTTCTGGTGTATGAAGGTGTGTTTGTCCGCAGCTATGCAGTTAAGCCTATTTTTAAAGCTTGAGCAAATACATCCTCAAGTTGGGCCACGGTTGGTTGATTTATGACTCAAGAATGCTAAATTCCCAAGTTGGAATCTGACCAACAGTTACATTGTTCTGTACACTGCCTGCTGCTTCCTACACAGATAATTACCGGCGGCTAATTTACAGATGCCAGCGGGAACGGAAATGGAGTGAATGGCTGCCCACAGAGCTAGGAATTGGATTTTATCAGGAGTCATGGAGAAGCACATTTGTTCTCAGAAAAAGAAAAAGAAAAGGTCCAGAAAAGTGACTAGTTAAGAAATACGACAGCAAAATGAGTTATTCAAAAGGCAGCGCAGCATTTAAAAACATTGCTTCAGAGTTAGACAACCTGGATATAAAAATCCTTATCGCTCCACTTATTATGTGGAAACCTTTGCCTGAGTTACTTGACCTCTCTAAGTCTGAATTCCTAACCTGCAACATCAATGTAATCAATAGTGGAGCCTGTTTCAAAATTGTGAGGATTAAATAAAATAAACACCTGTAGAACATTTAGCTCAGTATCTGGAACATGGTAAAAGATCAATAAATGTTAGCTATTATTATATTCTAATTCATGCCTCCAGCCTACTGTTTACTCTAAGTTCACTTCTGTATTCAACAGTCATGAACGAACATTTTTACCTTCCTCATTTGCTCAAGGTTATTGGAGATTTCAAGAGTAACTGATTACTTACCTTATAGATTAGAAACACGAGATCCATGAATTTAAGTAAATTGCCCCAGATTAGAGAATGATGGAACTAGAATTAAAACCCACTCACTGATCCTCTTATTAGTATAGAACTTCCCAAATTTGAGCTTATCCAGAAGAGTGCACTGATGGTTTTTGGCTCAGCTTAGTTCTCATATTCTACCAATCTTAGCATCAAAGTCAAATTTATAAACGTAGTGACCTTTGGCAAATTGTATCCCCCAATCTTGGTTTTTCACTTATAAAATGAGCAGCTTGGTCTATAGAGATGATCCCTATGATGTCTTCCAGTTGTGGAATTCTAAACCTAATGGTTTTATCCAGAAACTCATCACTGAGGTGAACAGCTAGAGTCATGGAAATATGTAGGTCACGCTTGACCAATGTCATCATTTTTGTGAGGGCATTGGGAATTAGAATTAAAGATGGACTCAGGATTGCAACTATCACCAAGTCTGGGGTCTCCTGCACCTTCAAAATGTCTTTGCTACTGTATTTGATGGCCAGCACGGACTACCCCTGGAATTTGCATCGTGCTGTCACAAGGGACAGACCAGATATTTTAGAATTTGAGGAAAACTTAAAGTATATAATGAATCAGCTATGCAAATGGTAAAGTATGTAAAAAAATGCCTTTTTTTCCACTGAACAATTACTTAGGCAAATTTATTTTTATCTTAGAAATTATTAGTCATATAGGTTCTTAAATTAACAATGAAAATGATGTTATTTAGAATTTACTTTAAACACACACGCACAAGGTCCACTTATTTTTCCAGTTACCTTTCTCAGTGTCCAGGGCATTTAAACTGATTGCGTTTTGGGAGCAATTTAGTAATGGAGATGAAGAGGGCCACCTACTTTTCTAAATTCCAGTATGATGCTCAAATTACTAAATTAAGATAATCTTTAAAAATAGCATGGGGAAAACAGCACAAATATTTAGCGAGACTCTTATGGAGCTGTTTAGAATTGTTAATTAGAGCTAGATATTGTTCAGGAATTTAAATGATAACTGAATAATCGAATACATAAGTAATGCTACTACTGCTTGTAAGAGCAATCAAGGCTTATACGTGGAATAAAGATCATCCTTGATATGCACACTTCAAAATCAACAGAGATTTTCAGAAATTTATATTTTTTGAGTAATTATCTTAAAAGATGAGTAATTCAGTATAAGTGGGATACACTATTCTAAAAAATAAGATGCATAAATAACCTGAATTAGGCTTAGGCAATCAATACTCAAATTATAATTTTCAATACTGGAGCCCCTCATATTTAGGCAATATAGTGCTGTGGCTGAGCAAGCGGGCTCTGGAATCAAACAGACTTGTATTTGGTTTTGTTCTTTGCCCCTTACTGTGTCACCCTCAGTAAGGTACCTGACCCATTTAAGCCTCAGTTCCCTCACTGTGAAACAGAGTAACGGTGACTATTTCACAAGTGATGTTGAAAGAATTGAGATACTTCCATGGAATCTGCTAAGCACATTGTTTACTGAATGCTTTGTTTCTTTCTTAATGGCCGCTTAGCTTTTAGAGAAAGAACTACAGCTCCTGGTTTACAGCAGCCTTCATGCTGGGAGGGGAGGGGGTGCTGTGGCATGTTTCTGCCCACTTCACTGTCTGCAACAGTCAGAAGCCAGGTGAGCTGTGAGCAGGTGATTGTCATAAGCATGCAAGTGTGGCGAGTCCTTAAATGCACTGGTCAAAGTTTTCAAGTTTGCTACCTCACATCTGTCAGAATGGCTATAATTAAGGGGACAAGAAATAAGTTTTGGAGATGATGTGGAGAAAACGGAACCCTCACACACTGCTGTTGGGAATGCAAATTGGTGCAGCCACTATGGAAAACAGTATAGAGATGTCTCAAAAAATTAAAACTAGAAATGCCATATGATCTAGCTGTTTCACTACTATTTGTCCAAAGTGCATGAAATCAATAATTCAAAGATTTATGCACCCCTATGTTCATTGCAGCATTGTTCACAATAGCTAAGACATGGAAGCAACCCAAGTGCCCATCAACGGTTGAATGGATGAAGAAGATGTGGTATATATACACTATGGAATACTACTCAGCCATAAAAAAGGACAAAATTGTGCCATTTGTGACAACATGGATGGACCTTGAGGGTATTACGTTAAGCGAAGTTAAGTCAGACAAAGAAAGATAGTGTATGAGTTCACTCATGTGTGGATGAGAAATAAACAAACACATAGATAAGGAGAACAGATTGGTGGTTACCAGGGGGAAGGGAGTGGAGAGAGGGCAAAAGGGGTAAAGGGACACATACTTATGGTGATGGATAGAAACTAGACCATTGGTGGTGAACACGATGCAGTCTATATAGAAACTAGTATATAATAGCGTAAACTTGAAATTTATACAATGTTATAAACCAATATGACCTCAATAAAATAATTTAAAAAATTTTCTTTTCAAGTTTGCATCTTGAAATGAGATGCTTTTTTATTTGCTTTTCATTGGGTGTAGAATTTGCTTCTTTCTTTGGTGGATATTTCAAACCATCTTCATTTGCCTGTCTCTTTTTAATTTCTCTGAATCTCTGGCTAATCTCAGTAGAGATATGTATTAGAAAATTAAATCTGATGGAAATTATTTGTCTTCTTGGAATTTAAGCTACAGGGAATTCCTTATAGATTTTTAACTTTCTTGAAGAAAAACTGTAACTAATCTGAATCATTAATTAGAAGCAGAATATATATTTTCCTATATAAAAAGACCCATTTTTTTAACTTTCCTATTTCAGAGATTTGCATTCAGTAATTGTGTAATATTATTTTTAGCTCAATTACTAACTTACTATGATGGGGGTAAATTATTCTTTTCATTTTTATGTAAATCTTGAGATAAACTTGTACTCCCATGGAGTTCATTTAAATATATGTCATTTCATGGTACTGGGGTGGAACTTCTTTTTATAGTAGATGAGAACATCTCTCAATCACCCTCAGCACTGGCAAAAATGTAGATAAAACAAAATATAAGATGATAAAGTGAAAATTATTCCAAGTTGATTAAAAAAGTTATGAAAACTCTATAGTTAATATGTACAATACAAATGAATTAATATGTGTGAAAAACTTAGAACAACGTCTGACAGATAATTTTGTGTTTAACATATGCCAGGTGATATTATTATTATTATGTCAAAGGAGGATGCAATTGCAAATAGTAGAATAAGAAAATGTGTGGGTTTTCCTATTTACTGGAGAACGTGCCTTTCATTTCGATTTGAC